CAATGACCATGTTTTGGTTCTCGACCTTTACTGCCAAAACATCAACAATATCATTTGAGGTGTTTAGTAGTTCCGAACATATCAGTGTATGCAAAATCAGTGTATGAAATAATTGCACAAAAATAATTCTGAACCTAACGAAAAAAATATATTTCATCGTCTTTGTTTAGATTTAAATTATTGTATACGTATTTAAAATATATTTAGTCGGATTAGGTAAGTTTTCTAAGATTCTTTTGGTGCAAAACTATACATTTTCACATTAACTTTAATGAAAAAAATATATCTTTATACTTTTAAGAAATTTTTTTAGAAAGGACTTAATTTTAACTGAGTTCTTGCTAATTGACCAGTTTTATCTATTAGACACGACATATACATCATATATATATATATATAATATATATATATTATATATATTATATATATATATATATATATATATATATATATTAATATAGGAAATGAAGCAGCGGTTCATGCAACAAGGGCGTATATCAACAACCTGCCTGAGGACAATGTAGTGGTAAAATTAGATTTCAAGAATCCCTTCAATCTCCTGAAAAGAGACGTGGTATTAGCAGCAGTACAAGAACATTTCCCTGGTCTTTTCCCTTTTGTTGCAGCTGGGTATAGCAAGGAATCAATGCTTCTCTTTGGAGAGCATGAAATCACATCATCGGAGGGTGTCCAACAAGGAGATCCTCTTGCACCATTTCTCTTCTGTTTAGCAGTTAGGAAAATCACAGTCAGACTGACCAGCGAGCTAAACATCTGGTTCCTAGATGATGGCACACTAGCAGGTACAAAGGAGTCCCTCCTACATGACCTTACACAGGTAATGACACGGAGACAGGAAATGGGTCTCATCCTGAATCCATCCAAATGTGAAATCATCTCAGTCAATCAACAAGTGATAAATGCAGTGAGATCAAAACTACCAGGAGCAGCAGTCATTGCCCCCACAAACAGTGTCTTGCTAGGAGCACCTCTGGGTAGCAATTCCATTGACACAATTCTCAGGAAGAAATTGGAAGAGTTAAGGAGAATGGAACAACGAATAGGCAATCTGGACACCCACGATTCCTTGTATCTTCTCACAAAGTGCTCGAGTCTGCCCAGGTTGACATATTTCCTAAGATGTGCACCTTCATATGATAACCCTATACTGCACGAATATGACAGTATCCTGAGGCAGATTTTTACGAAAGTACTTAACCTTACTCTAGAAGACGGGCAGTAGAACCAAGCTACTCTTCCAGTCAGACTAGGAGGCATTGGTGTCCGCAAGTCATCACAGATTGCGCTACCTGCTTTTCTGTCCTCATGTATTGCATCCAGAGGGCTTGTAGCAGCGATTCTCCCTGAACATCTTAGGGACAAGATTGGAGTCCAGGACCAAAAGTTCATTGACGGAGCCATGATCTGGGATAATCTAACGGGCTCTGAAACCAGACCTGCTCCCCCCAACAATTACAAACAATCGCACTGGGATGGTCCAATAGTTGAAAATATAGCCTCAACAATGCTTCAGAGTGTGTCAGGGAAGTATAGAGCCCGCCTCCTGGCAGTGAGAGCACCTCATGCAGGGGATTTTCTGTTGGCTGTTCCCAACTCCAGCCTTGGCACACGCCTCGACCCACAGACCATCCGCATCGGTGTTGCCCTTCGACTTGCCGCCCCTATTCTAGCCGAACACAGGTGTATTTGTGGCAGTGAAGCAACAGACCGATTCGGGTACCACGGTCTTGTGTGCCGTAAATCCGTGGGAAAGATTGCAAGACATGAGGAGGTTAATAACATTATCAAGAGGAGCCTCACAACAGCCGGATGCCCAGCAGTAAGGGAGCCACCCCAGCTATGCAGATCTGATGGCAGCCAGAAGCGTCCAGATGGTATCACCCTTCAAGCCTGGACAGATGGGAAGCAGGTGGTGTGGGACTATACATGTGCATCTACCTTGGCTGATACCTATCTCCAATACACCAGGGAGGAAGGAGGGGCAGCTGCCAGCTTCAGGGAGTCCCAAAAGTCTAGAAAATATGGAGAACTTGCCCATCATTATATGTTTGTTCCCAAAGGCTCAGAAACCCTTGGCTCATTTGGAAAGAATGCATCTAAATTCCTTAAGGAGCTGGGAAAAACACTCATCAGGGTAACTAGGGATCCCAGGGCAGCTAGTTTTCTGTTCCAGCGGCTCAGTGCGGCTGTTTAAAGGGGTAATGCCTGCTGTATTTTGGGCACACGCCCCAGCTCTGAGGAGCTGGATGAGATTTTCGCCCTATAATCGGTGATACGCACGTAACAACATGTACCGTATATGCCACCTTTATATCAACAATGTATCTCTTAAATCTTTTGTACCATATTATGTAATAAAATATTCCTACTGGTAAAAAAAAATATGAAAAGATGGGATGGTAGGGAATGTGGAATATTCAAACGGCTTCAGGAAGAAATCCAAATATTCATCCTTGAAGCCTTTTTATCCACTTTTCCGAGGCTATGGGTCCCACAATTTACACCAGAGGTGGACCCCATTTTATATATATATATATATATATATATATATTATATATATATATATATATATATATATATATATATACAAGGAATTCGCGAGAGCATGCGAAATATACACAAACACTGATCTCTGGCTGAAGGAGACTCGAACCTACGAACCTTAGGACAAGGTACGCAGTGCTTTACCATTCTACCCACACTGGACCAATACCTTGGCGTGTAGCATGAGCTACACGTTTGATCCAAGGCAGCCAACTTTCAGGGAGAAGGCTTACAGCTTTCCATCTCATCCCCTGTATGCATCAGCCTTACTAGAGATTTGAACAATGCAAGGAATTCGCGAGAGCATGCGAAATATACACAAACACTGATCTCTGGCTGAAGGAGACTCGAACCTACGAACCTTAGGACAAGGGTAAAGCACTGCGTACCTTGTCCTAAGGTTCGTAGGTTCGAGTCTCCTTCAGCCAGAGATCAGTGTTTGTGTGTATATATATATATATATTATATATATATATATATATATAATATATTATATATATATATATATATATATATATATATATATATATATTTGTGTGTGTGTGTGTGTCGTGCCGAATATGTAAAACTGGTCAATTAGCAAGAACTCATTTAAAATTAAGTCCTTTATGAAATTTTCTCTTATACGTTTAAAGATATATTTTTTTCATTAGTGTTAATGTAAAAAATTTTAATTTTCCTCCAAAAGAATCTTATAAAACTTACCTAACCTTATTATAACAAGAGCAATTTATTTTAGCCTAACCCAACTAAATATATTTTAGATTTGTTTACAATAATTTAATACTAAACAAACACAGTGAAATATATTTTTTTCGTTAGGTTCAGAATGATTTTGGCGAAATTATTGCATACACAAATTTTCGCTTGTCCTATATGGCAAGATGAGCGTTGCTATTTAAGCCAAGATCGCAAGTTCTGCCTATTCGGCACGACATATATATATATATATATTATATATAAAGGGGGTTGTAGGAGAAGACAACTTTCCAACAGCTCCAGGAGAACGTTTACTTAACATATTATTTTAGGTGCTCGGCAGTTTGTACAAATTCCCCTGGAGAGTTTATGCTTTTATTTAATATTCTCTAGTATTAATAAAATGTTTTTCACACTTCAATAAACAGAGGTGATGGCAGTGTAACTACCATTTAGTTAAACATCATTAAACACACCGCATTATATGAACATTTTTTACCCAACAGGTAGGTAGATAAGACACATAGGCAACATTTAGACAACTTTATTCCGAAACGTTTCGCCTACACAGTAGGCTTCTTCAGTCGAGTACAGAAAGTAGGCAGGAGCAGTAGAGATGTGAAGATGTAATCAGTCCATCACCCTTGAAGTCGTAGATTTGAGGTTGTCAGTCCCTCAGCCTGGAGAAGTTCTGTTCCAATGGCATCTTGGTATAGAAGAGAAAACACCTTGGACAACTTTTTCGAGTGAGAATTGTTTGATCTGAGAGGGACATGACCTCTCAGTGGCTACAATCTCACTACTACTACTCTGCACCTCTCCTTCCGACAGTATTTAAGTCTCTACACTGTCGCTTGATCTTCAATTAGTTCCAGACTTTGGAACTGAACTTCTCCAGGCTGAGGGACTGACAACCTCAAATCTACGACTTCAAGGGTGATGGACTGATTACATCGTCTTCACATCTCTACTGCTCCCGCCTACTTTCTGTACTCGTCTGAAGAAGCCTACTGTGTAGGCGAAACGTTTCGGAATAAAGTTGCCTAAATGTTGCCTGTGTCTTACCTACCAACCTGTCGGTATTGTATACCATTTGATAATTACCCAACAGGTACTGTAATATTCTTATACTCTTGTGTTTTGCACATAATGACCTCCAGCAGTGACTGCATTTTTCCTCGAATGCCACCCTCAACAGTCTGCTAAGACACAGACGTTCTCGTATATATTTTTTTATTTTTTTACGGGGCGAGCAAAGACAGGATAGGGTACAACTTTATTTTTCAATTAACATTATTAGCAGACTGGTTTCAGTTGTTGAGGTTTTATTTTATCATTTATACAGGTAGAACTTCCCACAAAAATAATTTAACATGGTTAAAAATCTGATAAATTTGATTGCAGAGAATATTATCACTGCAGAATAATATGGCTGGAGATGTGGACAACTTCGCCGCACAAGTAACACTGCTCAACACAACACTCCTACAACACAAAGCTTATTACACAACAGACGATCTCAGACGATAAGTGTTTCTTTGGCATTAAACTATTCTTGATGTTATCATTATAATAACCCTCATGTAGTCGATAGGCCTTATTAGAAAGTAACAATTAAGTTCTATTATTAATACATGTAATATTAATGTCAAAACTATTCTGATGATAGACTGTGATATACTGACCATAAACTATTATACTACAAATACTAAGCCAACAGAATCACACGTCCTTACCTGGTGCAGACCTGGCATACAGTGTTTGCCTGAGCAATGGATTGGTATAAATATATAAGTTTTATTTAAGAGATGTCTCACGAGGGATTCACACGCACCTCGTTTATATTTTATTTATTTGAAGTACTTAATATGACTCAGTCAGCGCAAGGATAGCTGGACGGTCGATCAGCTATCTCCTTGACGAACAATTTAGCATTATCTTTCTGTTCCCCTCCCCCCAATTTGTCTTAACATTTGAATGACATCTTGTCAGTATTGTAGGTGTTTGTAATAAAGAGTTGTTGCGAAAATGATCTCTCGCATAGATATGACAAGTATTTTACTTGAGTTGTTGGGGTGGGATTGTGACGAGTTCAGTCAGGTTATGGCAGTTGTTTTACCTGGGGTGTGTTGATGAGGTTGACAGATGTTGCGCTTAGGTTGATAGACATAATGATAAGAGTAACAGTTATGGTGCTGACATTGGCAGATGTTATAGTGAGTTAACAGGTGTTGTAGGTGAAATTGATAGGTGTGGTAAGGACAGGTGATTGGGCGACACAAACAGGTATTATGTTGAGGTTGACAGATATACTAGAAAGGTTACCAAGTATGTTGGTGGGACTGGCAGATGTTATGGCGAGGCTATGTCAAGTATTTTACCTTCTCAGTCGATGAGAATCTATGAAAATCGAAGCTTCGTTTAAGAAAGATACACTGATATTGAAAGCTTGAAGCCGAACAGAGGAGGTTTTCTCAAACTATCACATGGATTCATAAAATTATCTTCTTAATAGTTGCAAGAACCTTTCTCTTGCTGTAATTCACCATCACTGAAAATTTAAAACTTCACTGCTCGTATAAATGTAGTCAAGCAACTTATTTATGGGAATGTTTGAAGTTCCTTGATCTATACTCCTTGGAATACACACGAGAAAAATAAATCATATTATACTCTTGGAAAAGCGTAGAGAGACTGGTACCAAATCTTAGTCTAATATCTTTATTATGCACCCTAAACCCATCATGTGGGCGGCAGTCGAAATATTACTGAGGCACAATATGGGTCCAAAGACTGGGCGGTAAATCTGCACACAGAAAGCAGAAGACTCGACAGACGATGTAACCCAATGAGAAACAGGAGTGCCGTGAATATCCTGAGAGAACACAGTAAATGTTAAGAGACTAAGACTGCTCAACAGCCTATCATCATACATTACGTAAATTCCCAATAGACCCATGGCTGTCTACAAGAGGGAACTGGATAGATTCGCGAGTGAGTGTAGACCAGCCGGGTTGTGGTTCATGTGTTGGGCTGCTTGAGGCCAACACTGAGGAGTCTGTGGAGACAAAGAACTTTGTCCATGGAAGCAAAGAGGTAATGTATGATAGTATAGTTATACCAATGCTCTTATATAGGTGTGAAGCATGGGCGGTGAATGTTGCAACAAGGAGAAGACTGGAGGCAGTGTAGATGTCATGTCTGAGGGCAATGTTTGGAGTGAATATAATGTAGAGAATTCGTAGTTTGATAATTAGTAGGAGGTGCAGGATTACCAAAACTATTATCCAGAGCGCTGAGGAAGAGTTGTTGTGGTGCTTCGGACATGTAGAGAGAGGCGGGAACAAAATAGAATGGCTTCGAGAGTATATGAATCTGTAGAGGCGGGAAGGCGGGGTAGAGGTCGGCCTAGGAAATGTTGGAGGGAGGGGGTAAAGGAGGTTTTGTATGCGAGGGGCTTGGACTTCCAGCAAGCATGCATAAGCGTGTTAGACAGGAGCGAATGGAGACAAATGTTTTTTAAAACTTGACGTGCTGTTAATAATAATATAATATAATATAAGCTTTATTTACTACAAGTACATGTACAAGGTATACAGTCCTAGCTGACAACAATGACATACTACTACATAGACAGCCACTTGTTATGATGAGCATCTCGGGAAAATTAGGTCAGTGTCCCAGGATGCGACCCACACCAGTCGACTAACACACAGGTACCCATTTTACTGATAGGGAACATAGACAACAGGTGGAAAAAAACACGCCCAACGTTTCTACTCTGGCTGGGAATCGAACCCAGGCCCTCGCCGTGTGAAGCGAGAGCGTTAACCACCAGGCCACCAGAGCAGGGTAATATTTATGAAGGGATTCAGGGAAACCGGCAGGATGGACTTGAGTCCTGGAGATGGGAAGTATTGTGTCAGCACTCTGAAGAAGAGATGTTAATGTTGCAGTTTTATAACTGTAGTGTAAGTGCGCCTCTGTCAAGACAGTGATGGAGTGAATGATGGTGTAATTTTTTCTTTTTTTGGGCCACCCTGCCGTAATGGGAAACGGCCGATTTGTTAATAAAAAAAATAATCATGTGGTAGATACATTTTTGTGACCTTTGAAAGAAAGATTCTCAGATTTACCACTCCCAGGTCCTTCACATTAGTTTTTTGCTTTATTATGTGGTTGGAATTTGTTTTATACTCCGATACAGTGTTTATTTCCTCGAGTTCTCAATAGCGGAGTAATTGAAATTTGTCTTCATATTGTTTTCTGATGCCCATTTAAAAACTTTGTTATTTTTAATCAAAAGTTAGTGACCAGCACCTAGGCATTCCCTTATTATTCCTTGTTGGAAGACCTACGAAAGACATCCATGGAATTGTTGAAACAAGTAAATGAAGGATGTATCTAAGAGGAAGGAGCTTATACATACATCATGCCTGTGTGAGCCTGATAGAGATTAGTGGAGTAGTATGGATTTTGGTGTTTGACAACTGTCGCAATGTTTATATCCATGACGGGATTCATGGAAACCTGCACACTGGCCTAAATTATGGAGGTGGGAATGCGGTGCCTGAGCTCTGAAAATCAAGTTGGGATCTTGTGGTTTGGTGGGTCAGTTATGAATTATATCTGAGCTCTTCTGTAAGTATTCAAGTGATCTTTAAGGTGTTCTGTTTGTAGGGTCGCTTATCCTGTGGTATACAACTGATGTGTCAGTAAAACAACTAAAAGTTATGATGATCAAAATATAACGATTTTTTTTAATATAAAAACATAGTATGAATTAGTTTTAGTTATCAGTAAACTGTAGCATGAAGCTACTGAACTGGTGATATTTTTAAGAGGAGTACCAGTGTGCGTGTGTAGACTGTTGCCAGATATTTATAGCTAGGATAATTACGGGTGATAGGTGAATGGTGGTTCGATTCTCGCATCTGATACCTACATCTGGTATGCAATGTACCAAACAAGGAGTACCTGCATCAGGTACCCCTTGTTTGGTACATTTACTTAGTTATACTCATCTAATTTTGCGTGCTGGTGTCGATTCACATTCCAGATCCCGCCTCTTAACTCCTGTCGATCAAGTCTTTATGCTAAGGAAAATTACAAATACACGCCGTGATACGTCTATCAACGAGTTGGTCGAGGAAGAGCAGGAAACGTGGAATTGTCAACATATGTCATTGCTATGAGCATAAGATTAATACTGAATAAGTATTTCTTAACATTCCTTTGGCTCATTTACGTCATTAGCTCTGTCTTCTGGCGTCCTCACCTCGCATTTCAACCAGCCTATTATTAGCTACTTTATTATTTTAAGTATTGCTTTTATTTATGATTATGTCCTCCCTGGTCCTCCTCTATTCTAGTCTTGTCAGTTTAATTCTTTAAATCTCTTCTAACCCCACAAGGGTCATACAGCACTGACAGTAGGTCTCATGATATCGCTGCATATTTCAATATGAACCTAACGTATGTTGTGTATAATACCCTAAATTAATCTTGGTTCAGATTTCGAGTATGTCGCTGAAGTTTGATGTATTTCTGGTGACATGCTTAGTGCAATGCTTACCCCCAGAGCTTTCTTCTTGCACAGAGCCAGCAGCATCACTTCTAATATATATTGTCTTCTCACTCCTCATATATTCATTATTTTGCCCTTTCTCAAGAGTGATTTCAAATAACCACCTTCTTGACATTTTTGTTTACAGATTGTTTAAGTCGTTTTCAGAGTCTACTCCTGTCCTCTTCGATTGTTATCTTCATTAATATCACATCGTTTGCACAATAAGGGATTCGTAGAATTCAGTTTGCTCTGGCAAATCGTTTTTGTAATGAGGTTTAGCATGTTATACCACCGGTTACTGAATCTTATCATGTTGGCCGTACTGAGCGAGAAGCTACTCAGTTATAACCAAGTATATGGGTGTCAAACATATCGTGCGTGTATGTGAGACAACCACGTATACATTCCACTCATAAGATAAGATAAGATAAGATTTCGTTCGGATTTTTAACCCCGAAGGGTTAGCCACCCAGGATAACCCAAGAAAGTCAGTGCGTCATCGAGGACTGTCTAACTTATTTCCATTGGGGTCCTTAATCTTGTCCCCCAGGATGCGACCCACACCAGTCGACTAACACCCAGGTACCTATTTGCTGCTAGGTGAACAGGACAACAGGTGTAAGGAAACGTGTCGAAATGTTTCCACCCGCCGGGAATCGAACTCGGGCCCTCCGTATGAGACAATCACATATGCCACGCATATATGAGACAACCACGTATACAGTAGTGTGCATATTAATTGGAAAATTAACGTTTGTTTGAAAAATACTCGGCAATGATATGACAGCTTCTATAAGCTTAGGCATAGAATCAACCAATGTTGAACACATTTTGGCAAGTTATTCGTTGTAGTACCAGGTCCTAATAACAGTAGCAATTAGCTTCTCCCCAGGTGAACTTTCCTGTTTCGAAATCATGCGTTTCGTTATTGCTCATAGATTCTCATCTGGGTTGAGGTCAGGAAAGTTTCCAGGCCAATTTAGTACACTTAGCACACTCTCTTCAAAGAATGTCAGCATGGCATGGAGCAAGATTCTACTGGAAAACGTCTTCTCCATCAGGATAGTCTGTATCCTTAATGGAAAGCAGATGAGTTGCGAGGATTGCCTTGTCACTGTTCATCGTTCCCTCAACAATGACAAGCTGTCCAGTTCCTTTAGCAATAAAACTACCCCAA